AAACATTTCCTTGTTTTTGTTTTCAGTTTTTATTCTTACCTAATAAAAATGTAAGTATCGATACAATCTCTATTTCTTATCTCTCTCTACTGTCCGAGCCTAGCCTATTTTGCTCCTCCAAAACAGAGGCTCTGCAGAATGAGAGAGCAGAGCTTTGACTGGAAAGCTGTTACGGTTACTCGAAGAAGAGAAGAATAACAAGAAAGAAATAGATCATCTATACTATATATTTTCTTAAGTTTAATGACTGGTGATCTTTGTCCCAGTAAACAAATTACAAATCACCTCTCCGTTGTTGTTTGCATGAATTGAAAGTGGACTTTACTTGCTACGAAATGGCGAGTTCAGAAATTGACAGACTAATTTGGTTGAAAAGGTGAGACTTAATGCAAGCCTGAAACTCTTCACGAGCTTGTTTGTTGCGCTTTTTTGATAATGAAGTTCTTTCGAAACGGTTGAACTGAACACATGGATCTTTCTGGATCTATATAGGCCCTTCTATTGACATTGAATGAGTGGTTGAAGTTTAGAGTGGATTATAATCTGCTTTTGTAGCAATGACCACGAAAATCCTTTTTTTTGCCAGAAAGTGTTTGCAAATAGGTGCATTTTGTAGCTTTATCTTCACAGAGCATGAAACTTTTTGAATTTTTGAAATCCATCAATAAACAAAAAAGTTACGGATTTTTTAATCAATTAATTTCTGGTACACTTTTATAATGAAAAAACCCCAAAATATGGGACGTTCAGCAAACAACAACAACGCAATCTGTTAACATTATCAAGTCGATCATTTCGTTTTCTGAGTCGGGTAGATTAGGTAGATTTTGTGAATTTCCAACATCGCCAGAGGGTATACGTGGAGTAAAGGGAAAAGGGAATTGGGGTAACAACTGGGCTTTTAAGATACCTATGAAAAGCCTAGGGTCACAATTATACATGTACTGCATGTGTCATAAATTTGGGAGTTATTATTTTTTTATTCGGCATTTTGGGGACGGGATTGGTGGGTTTTTTGTTGTTGTTGACATTGGACATGTATTTGCAATCGTTGATTTTTTTTTGGGGGGGGGGGGGTACGGTGATAAACTGGAACATCAATCTCCGAGCGCCCGAGGATACTATAACTGTGATTGCTGTTACTGCACGACACAATGCTCACACAGGACACGACTCCGTAAGACTAAACGGGCACGAACAACGTGAGGGTCAGAAGTTCTGGTTAGACCAATCCCGTTTGACTGTTACAACACTATATTCAAGCCTGAGGATCTACGCACAATATATTCAACTTCTCATAATTGTGACTCTTCGACTATGAGAGATTGGAATTTATCAAAAATCGCTGCAAATATAATATACTATCCATGATGATATGATTTCTCACTATTTTTCAAAATATATTGTAGGCTACATCATGTCGTAATTTCGGTAACAAATATTTTGGCGCCCTCACCCTTATCCACATGCATACGCACACACACACACACACACACACACACACACACACA